GCAAACAAGCATGCGCGGGATTTTCAAGATCTTGCGATACAGTCCGAGCAATAAACGCGGAAGTTAGATCCAAACACCCGTTGTGTGGGAGAAGCATCAGCATGAGCTGTTTAATCTGCCCATCATTACTGTTGAGAGATCAGCAGTGTTTGGATCAACAAAGTGTGACTACTTTGATAGTGGAAACTGTATTTATGGCTTACTTTTGTGCATTTAAAGTTCAGCCGCCATTGATAGTTGTTAAAAGTTGTTAAACCTGTGCATATGAAACAAAAAACACCTTTTGTTTATTGATTTATTGTGAAAAACGGAAGTTGTGCTTGCTCCTTTTCCTGTTGGGCGTTTGTGATTTCTGTCCATTTACTGCGGAGGTGCTCCGGCGTCCGGCAAAAATAGGATCGATTCTATTTTTGCCGGACGCCGGAACAGAGGGCGGCGCACGGCGCCGCACTGCCGGAGCACGGCCGCAGTAGTGGAATTGCTCTGATTGACTACAACGGGACCGATTTTGCTCCGGCGTTCGTGTCGGAGCGGAGGTAGTGGAATTTGGGGGTTAGAGATTTATCAGCTTGTAAAAGTTTGTAATTGGCATGATTACATCACCACGTTGCATATGTGACATCACCACATAACCACCTAGCGTAGCTGCTGCTTACTAGCCTGGCCTGCCAGACTTGTCCTCTACAGAGAGAACTAGTCTGGTTACTCATAGGCAGAGAGGCACATGAGGGGCGGGACTAGCCAGCTCAAAAATAACCAGAAAAAGGCGAAATGCCGACTGTAAAGCGCAACGCTGTAGTTTTTAGCTGTAGTCAAAAATGGCGTCTGGCGACGGCTCAAGCATCTTTTATTTTTTGAGAAAGGCTTTTAGCGCCTCTACTAGTTGTGCTTTTAAACACTTGTTCAAGTCGTTTAGAACAGAGGAAAGAGCCGCAACAAACTCCACTTCAGACACCATGTTTATGTGACGTACGCTGCTCACCGCTGATTGGCTCGGTTCGAATTCTCAGGGGGTGGGGTCTTTTGAATAAAAGAGTACCCAGCCCCATGCTTCCTTATGGGCTGGTCAGGCTAGCTCCTTGCCATATGTCAAGATTCATGGTGGTTCTTTCCTCCTGAAGGACAGGATTTGAAGTTCAGCCGATTTCCCTTGAGTTTTCTCCATGTCTGGTTCGATGACACCACTTTGGTGATGCGCAGTTGTAGTCCTGGACATATTTTCACACATAACCTAAAATAGCTTTTGCCCCCGTTGCTTTCTTGGCATCAAAATGCATCTTTAAAATTCACGGACATCATATGTCTCACTGTCTCATCTGCAGCATTGGTCTTGTTCCAGTGCAGCCGTATCTGTCACATCACTCGTCTTACTCTTTCTCGCGGCCATGCACTCAACGCCACCTCACATACACATTTAATTTAGTGTGTGAATGTGTGTGTGAATGGATGAATGATACACTGTAGTGTAAAGCGCTTTGGAGTCCTTACTCTAAGAGGCGCTATACAAGTGTGGGTCATTTATAATTTAATGTTTTTGTTACAGCTAAAAAAAATTATGTTTTATTATAATATTTTACTATTATAATGATTTTATTCTAAACTATGCAAGATGGGCAATATAACAGGGTATCCGCGGGTCCTTAAAAAGTCTTTAAAAGTCTTAAATTTGCTTTTCCAAAATTAAGGCCTTAAAAATCCTTAAAAAGGGCAAATAATCCTTACGTACAGTTTCCAAAGGTCTTAAATAACCAAAGACCCAATAAACAAGATTCTTTTTTTTTTTTTCGTGAATTTCTAGTTAATGTTCAGCATTTTTTGTGTATGATATTGGCATAAGCAGAACCGTACACATTCAGTTGGTTGTGAAAGGGGGCTATTTTTAGATGGTTAAGCTAGTGGGAGCTTGCACCATGGGGAAGTGCAAGTTTAGTTTTAACTGAATGGCTAATCCAACGTTCGTGACGTAGTTATCACTGGTTCCAGGCAACAGCTGGAAATTATAGTTTAAATTTAATTTAAAAAATAGCTTCAATTCGGTCAAAGTGGCCTTAAAAAAGGTCGTTGAGTGGTCTTAAAAGAGGTCTTAAAAGGTCTTAAATTTCGCTCCCTTAAACCTGCAGATACCCTGTATAAAAACATGTTTTACAATATGCAAGATATTTACTATAATGATACAACAGTATGGTGTACGACACACAATGTATTATCTCCAATATACAAAACATGATAAGAAAGTACAGATATGCACTAAATCTAATAGATGAAGCACGATATATGGCATTTAAGATGTGCACTACACCTATTACATGGTATATTCACAATGCGTGATATAGCTTGCACAATACATCAAATTACACATGTTGCTAATTATACAAGATATATGACATACAGTGCGTTATATACGATACATAAGATATGTACAATGCCAAATAAATAATATAAATGATTCCCAGTGCACGATTGAGAAATCAATGTCAACCTTTTTTGTGCACATCATGATAAATTCCCAAAATATTACGTTTGTCATCAGGCTTATGCTTGTCCAGAGTATCCCGCTGACAAATCTCTATCTGTAGAACAAAACAAGCCTTTGACTTCCTGTCGACCTGTTGTGGACGTGCAAAATGATCAGCTAAGTGGTGGCGACAAATGGTGACATGGAGTTCACCCTTGGATCTAACCTGATTTGTGTCAGTGTTGTAAGTGTAGCCTCTTCTCAACTGTTTATCATAACAGCTGGCATGTTCTCTGCTTTGCAGGTGTCATAGCTGTTGTCATCTTTGTGATTGTGACCACCCTGGCCGTAACTGCCAGATTCCTCTACAGAAGAAAAGAAACATATCAAACCCAAGAAGTGAAGGGAGTCAAGCAGGAAGATAGCCAAGATTTCCCCTACAACAGCCAGGCAGACCCCCAGAATGTTTCCAGGGAAAACCCAAAGGAGTTCTTCATCTAACTGAAGGCCTGGAGGCCCAACGAGCTGCTGTTTTTCTGAGGAGGCTGCAGACCGGAGCGTCCAGCCACACCTCAGGACTTCACTCTGCACTACGAGCCAGTACCAACGCACTTTGATGGATGGACACAGTACTAAAGAACTCCTAGAAAAGAAAAAGGGAACACTGATTTAGTCTTTTATTGTGTAGATGTTGGTTTAAACCGACAGCAGTGCTGGACCTAAAAGGTGTTTCAACAGCTGTAAATATTACACATGTACATGTTTAAGTAATAACTCTCTGTAATGGTGAAAACACTGTTTTATGGATTCTTTTAACTTTGTTTTTGTGTGTTTGGGGTTTAGCTGATGCCCTTTTCTGTGTGAAATGAATGAATGTTTGCTTAATTTGATGAGAAACAAGACAACAGTCCTGTAACAGCTGCTGTTTTTCTCAAGTACAAGTCTTTTTTACTGAGCGGCTGAAGAGGAATCACAATACCAACAACCCTCTTTTGATTTGTCAACAACCGTAGGGTCGCAGTTTAAATACTGTTTACTATGTGTCATGATAAAGTCCTCAAAAATGATAATTATCAGGACTTTATCCTGATGTGTGATTTGTGATACATGACATACTCTTTAGTACACGGTTTTATCCTGATATACCTAATTATATAAAAGGGTTGGGATAAACACCAAACATAGTGAGATAGTTGGGGCTGGAAAACATTCAGCATTTTATCAGTTTCTCTTGTTTAAACGTACGCGCTTCAAAGTTTGTTTTATTCCACAGAAGTTACACTTTCTGAATAAGAGGAAGCCATTTAAAACATTTTTCTGTAGGATAACAGTTTAAACATCTGAGGTCGTAGTCGCATGCTGCTGCCCCCCCAACGTCCCCTTTTCCCCACCGGTGGTGGGCGTCGGGGGACGATGGGATGGCAAGGGTGCGGCTCCACTCCCCCACACAAGACTTTAGAAACCAATATTAGTGGAATAACTGGGATTCAGTCCCAGTGTTCATGTATTTTGACATTTAAGGGACTGTTATGCTTTATGGAATTCCACACGACTCAAAACTCAGAAAATGTTGTTTCCAGAGCCGAGCGTAGATGCATAATGATGAATCCCCGAGCACTTTTACAGTTTTGCGATGTAGAAATGTAAAAATCCTCATCCAAGTCGCACATTTAAAGAGGTTTTAGTTTAAACTTTTTTTAAATGAATGTCAGAAATTAAACCTGTGAATTCATCTGAATTACAGAATCATGAGATCAGTGAAGTCAGATTAATTCATTTGTCATTAAAACAACCTGATGCTTTACTTTAGACCCCAGTTGGCTTTAAAATGTCACTTATTTTATATCCCAGACACATATATAATTACTAATTATGGATGAAACTGTACCAAAGCGCTTCATCAGAAACAATGCACATCTAAATTATCCATAAATATAGTGAGTGATGCCTTTAAATGAAATTGTCTGTTTGAAAACCTTCTTTTCTTGTGATTTTAAACTAATACGGTGAGGTCCGGGTCAGAATATATATACATATGTAATATTAGGCAGTGTTTAGACACCAAATGTCAATAAATAACGAGGCATTTGATGCTTTTCCAACATGAGACGGCGCCTGAATTAAACATTTTCAAAAGTTTTTTTTTTTTTTTTTTCGTTTGGCCACAGCAGATTTTTCTGCAGCTATCAAGAAGCGTCCTTAGTTTTTCTCTCTCTAGTCAAGGAAATGAGAACGTAGCATTTGTTCTGTGGGTGCTTTACTGTCCTTTGGTGAGGGATTTTTAAAATAAACAGAATTTTTTTCCACTTTGTTTTCATATCTATTCCATTCTTTGACTTTACTGTTTTTTGTCATTTCTTTCTGGCCTTTCAGGAACATCTGCTGCAGGTTTGCTACTTCTGTTAACAGTTTCTCCTCCTTGCTGCATTCAGCCTTGCAGGGAGCTTCTCTTAGCATCTTTAATGGCTCTTTTTGCACCGACAGTTGACTGCACACACAGGCAGTCTACGTGCTTTTAAATCTCTGATCTGCTTTGATCTGACAGGTGGATCGTGATCCGGTGGCAGGCAGGGAGAGGCGACAGGAAGACAACTTGGAAGACTTTCGTCAGGTATAATGAAGAGACGTGATATTAGCAGTGAAAAATGAAGCGAATCTCCCAGAGTGATAATAACCTTGTGTGTAGACGGAGGATGAGCAGCTGCGTCGGGACACAAACTGGCGTCGCTCTGCGAGACTCCGAAGCACAGATGGGATTTTAGTGACAAAAGTTACAAAATCTTCAAAGTGCATTATTCTACTTTTTACTTCTAAAATTTATAATTATTACTCCTCCTGCCATGCAATGCAGTAGTGAATTATCTTTGCAGAAGCCTTGATTTCAGAGTTCATCCTTTGATGAAGAGGAGAGTTGACCTTTCACCCCCATGCACACACAAGAGCAGCAACTGATTACAAAGAGGAACTCAGCAGGTAACAGATAATCTGTCAAACTGAGCAGGAGGAGGCTGAAAGGTTAATTAACAATCAGAGAATGCATTGGTGGTCTTTTTAAAATACGTTTGTTTTCAGGCAATGAAAGGATTCTGTCGGCACACGTTTAGGAAAGCTATAACCTTCACCTGAATTCTTACCACCCGGCTCAATTGTAGGCGGATCGTTCAAAAATACCATCACAGCAAAAACTGTTTTAGGATATTCAATAAGTGTTTGGTCCTGATACAAGAAGTTCTAATTCAGTCGAGCAAAGAATACAACAGCTGTGGTTGCTGCAGGCGTTCCCGGCAGACAACCCCTTTCACCTCCTGCAGCCCCTGGAGGCGGTTCCGGCTGGATCCCTTTAGGTTTCACCCTAAACTTTTACCTCGGTGTGAATAAACTTCATATATGGTCGTGAGGAAGCTGTAAAGTATGTGCCTACGTCAGTCATTAAAATAACAGCTAAATGTGTGCATATTAATGCTGTAGCCAGTGCTTAATACATTTCCATCCAGATCCAACAGAATTATCCTACACTAGCGAGAAAATTATATCTGAACAGTGTATTGCTGACAAGTTTGTTGGAAATTAAAATTGGAAAGAAGAATTGCCTCAAATTTACTATTTAGCTGAAACATTTGCTGCATTATGTGCAAATCTGTGTCACAAATTGAGCCAAAAGTGTCTTTAAACATTGGCTTTTGTTGTACCTGTAAAACATCTGGTGACACTTTTTTATTTACTGTCTCTAGTCAGTCACCAACCACCCCATGGTTGTCTTGCTTTTCTTACGCTTGACTCGTGAAAATGAAGATGGAAAGGTTTCCAACCATTCTGAGACAAAAATGGACTCGGCTCATTTTAGAACTTGATTGAACTTCCAACAGCGGGAGAACAAGAATCTGCAGTTCGCTGGAAAAAAATCAAAACCTTCACCAATGTTTTCACCAAACAGTGAGATAGTGGCTTTGTAAGGAAAGATGCTGACCCACATGTTGTTGTTTAAGGCCGAACTTTCTGGAAGCTTTTCAAGCTATTTACATTTTGAAAAACCCAACTGAAAGTGCAACCCCCTTTGTTCAGGCTCCGCCCTCTAAGCCACACCTCTAGAACACAGAAGAACACCAGACGCAACAGATACAAGTAACCATACAACACCATCAAAACATAACATTGTTGAACCTCTTTGACCTGTGTTGGCACCTTTAATGCTCTTCACCTCTGTCTCCCCTTTGGCTTTGCTTCCTGTTCAGCTGCTCCACGCTGACAGACGTCTGTGCACAAAGACGCTATGAGCAGAGGAGCGAAGGATGGTCAGATAAAAGTTTGATGGATGGATGGATCAGGGTCCAATCATTAAGAGCAGGACTTTCAAAATGACTGAGATTTTTTCCGGAATTGTAAGTTTCAGAAGCGATTAAAATGGTTCGATTTTTTAACGCTCAATTTATTGGTCACCATCAGTGCAGAGCATTTCAATCATTATGGCAAGAAAAGTGCAGATAAACGTCTCTTACCCCACCTTTAGGTTTGTTATGAAACACATTTTTAATCTTTATTTTTGCAGCTAACGCAAACATAACACTGTATTCAGAGCAAACCTTCAAATCTGGAAAAAACTCACCACTTTTATCTCTAAAACTGGATTCACGTGTGATTTCTGGGTTAATGAACCTCCATCAATAGTCAAATGTTTTAACCTCCTGGTGTGGAGGTTAAATAGTTATTTATTCTTTGTCTCTCAGCAGAATTACAAAGAGTACACCAAATGTCACATCTGTATGAGAATTGGAGCACAGGCAAAGGACAAATCTATTAAATGTTGGCCAGCTGGAAAATATATTAAAATTTGAAAATGGCATTAACCTTGAAGCTTGTACGTGGCCAGAAACGACATTTGGATCGTTTCCATCTGGCCCTGAAAAAATGACCTAAAACTGCTTTTTACTCTATTTTAAAGCAACGTTCAGCTTTAAATGTTTTAATAACTTTTGTTTAAGCAAGTGATTATCGAATAAAGTAACTCAAGACCAAATTCACTCAGTCATGGTGTTTCACTCCAGCAGTCGTGGGTGGAAGATGGGGGACATCTTGAACAGGTCTCGAGTCCATCACCAGCCGGGAGTTGAACCTGTGACCTTTTCCAATGCTAGGAAATGGAGCTGCCAACTGTGAGGCTGTGCAGTTTCACAAGACATTAAATTATGTTGTGCCCCAGATAATCTGACTCTGTGTAAAAGTGTCATTTTTACCTAATCAGAGAGACTCCAAATGAAACCCCTGAAAATGTCTTCATGTTATCATTTTCCAGCTTACAAGTTTCCCATCCAAGAAACTTCCTCAGTTCACGAAATTGTTTCCACTTTTAAAACAAAGTCTAGGATTTGTCCTGAAGGCTAAATGTGAAAATAGTCCTCTACCCTTATTTCCTGTGTTTGCTGCCGATAGAGATTAGACATTTGCACGTCATGATGTCAAGTTAGCATTCATGGGCTCACCCATCTTGACTCATGACAGGGAAGGTTGTTGTTGGTTGAGCGTCCATGAGTAAGCAGAGCATGTCTCGGCTAGTAGAAGCTAACTGTTAGCATTAGCAACTCCACCACATAGCAGAACTCCTTCAGGCTTATGTTATTTGTGGAGATAAAACATCAGTGTTGCAAAGCAAATAGTCCGTGGTAGAGTCGTTTTGCTGTTGGTCAATCAGAGGTGAGATGTCCAACTATCAGGAAAAGAAAACCTGAAACAAACTAGTGAACTTAGTCTTTAAAGGGATTTTCCACACAAAATTTTTATTTGTCTGTTTCAGAAAAAATTACAATGATAGAAAAATAAGCACATTGCATTTGTGCAGGAGAGATTGGAGCTTGTGTGTGTGCATGTGTTCGTGTGTTTTACACCATTTTGCTAACAACGTGCATCTGTGGGTGTTTCTCAATGCCAAGGAACTTTGCCTTGAAGTCTTGGCCCCGCCCCGGTTGCCTAGGAGATACGTCATCGAGAGCCACCAAGACATGTTCCAATCGGTTCCAATGTTCATGTTCTACCGAGGCACGTGTTCTCCGTTTGTTAGCCGTTTAGCTAGCTGACCAAGGATACACGGGAAGTGTCTTGTAGCCTAGCCTTGGTCAAAAATTACCCACAATACACAGCGGTATTTTCTAAAAGATGGTGGATCAGAAGCCGGCAGCTACTTCGGGGACAATTTTCAAGTTTAAAAGTAAGTCAACTAATTTAAAATGGTTTTTGTTTAGACCCAAATAAGTTATCTGTTGTTGGTTAGTTGCTTAGTAGTGGCAGCTTCGGTGGCTAGCGGGAAGTAACTTGCTTATATTTTTTATTTAATAAACATATTAAATTAAGGTAAGGTGGCAGCCTCTCCCTGGGCTGCCACCTTACTGTGGTGGAGGGGTTTGAGTGTCTCAATGATCCTAGGAGCTAAGTTGTCTGAGGCTTTCTGCCTCTGGTAGGGTCACCCATGGCAAACAGGTTCTAGCTGAGGGATCAGACAAAGAGCAGCCATACCTCTTACGATGAATTATATAAATGGAAACCGTGATCCCTCGCCCAGACGTGGGTCACCGGGGCCCCCCTCTGGAGCCAGGCCTGGAGGTGGGGCATGTTGGCGAGCGCCTGGTGGCTGGGCTTTGACCCATGGAGCCCGGCCGGGCACAGCCCGAAGAGGAAACATGGGTCCCCCTTCCCATGGGTTCACCCCTCGTGGGAGGGGCCAAAGGGGTCGGGTGCAGTGTGTGACGGGTGGTAGTCTAGGGTGGGGACCTTGGCGGTCTGATGCTCGGCTACAGAAGCTGGCTCTTGGCTAGGGATGGGTACCTTTGACATTTGAATCGATTCGGTACTAATTCCCGGTACCTAGGAATCAATACCGGTACTTAACGGTACCAATTTTCGATACTTTTGAGTATTTAATATTTTAATTCTTGTTTATAATTAATATATATTTTTCTCAATATATAACCATATTTGATAAATATCACGATAAATAGCATACAACTGTTTGTATTTTAACATCATCCTTGTAGTTTTATAAGCTGATAATTAAACTGAAGCAAACATCTTTTCTGTGACCTAAATTTACTGTGTATCTTAATTCCTTTTGCCATCCGTTTTCATTTGATTTTTCCTCCTGGGAAGTTAGAATTTCCGAGGAGAAAGCGAACACACCATTAGTTGATAACAATGGTGGCAATGGAAGCTAACATATCAAGCTAACGTTATCTTTAAGTTTATTTAACTGCTGGAGCAGATTAAAAGGATGATGCCTCACACTTAGATCGCTGTCGCTGGTTTCATCTTCACCTAATCACCCGTCGCATTTAGTAAAGTGAAGCCAAACTTTAGAGCGCGTTCATGTTCTTCTAGTCGGAAATTCGGAGTTCCGAGGAGAAAGCGAACGCACCATTAGTGAAACAGAAGCTAACATATCAAGCTAACATTATCTTAAACATTTTATTTACCTACCGGAGCAGATTAAGATGAGGATGTCTCACTTAGATCGTTGTCGCTGGTTTCATCATCATCCAGATACCCATCACATTTAGTGAAGTGGACCCAAGCTTTAGCGTGCATTCTTTCTACCATGCTGCTCTGTTTACAACTGGCTCGCAGTGACCGACGACATAACGCTCTTGTGCATGCGCAGCTTTCTTGGCAAGTTCTCATTATGAAGGATGGGTACCGAAGCGAGGCACCGTTTGAAATGACGTGAATCTTTGCTCGGTCGGTACTATGGAATTCGGTCGGTACCTTAAAAAGTACCGAATTCGGTACCCATCCCTACTCTTGGCACATGGAATGTCATCTCTCTGGTGGGGAAGGAGCCTGAGTTGGTGTGTGAGGTTGAGAGGTTCTGACAGGATATAGTCTGACTCACCTCAACGCATGGCTCTGGCGATGGAACCAGTTTTCTTGAGAGGGGTTGGACTTTCTACCACTCTGGAGTTGCTCCCACTGAGAGGTGCCGAGCAGGGGTGGGCATACCAGTTGCCCCCTGTCATGGTGCCAGTATGTTGGGGTTTACCCCAGTGAATGAGAGGTTAGCCTCCCTCCGCCTACGTGTGGGGGGACAGGTTCTGACTATGGTCTGTGCTTATGCACCAAACTACAGTTCAGACTACCCACCCTTTTTGGAGACCTTGGAGGGGGTGCTGGAAAGTGCTCCTTCCGGTGACTCCCTCGTTCTGCTGGGGGACTTTAACGCTCACTTGGGCAATGACAGTGAGACCTGGAGAGGTGTGGTTGGGAGGAACGGATCCCCTGATCTGAATTTGAGTGGTGTTTTGTTATTGGACTTCCTTGCCAGTCATGGATTGTCCATAATGAACACCATGTTCAGACATAAAGGTGTCCATATGTGCTCTTGGCACCAGGATACCTTGGGCCGCAGCTCGATGATCGACTTTGTTGTTGTTTCATCTGACCTGCGGCCGCATGTCTTGGACACTCGGGTGAAGAGAGGGGTGGCGCTGTCGACTTACCACTACCTGATGGTGAGTTGGCTCAGATAGTGGGGAAGGATGCCAGTCAGACCAGGCAGTACCAAACGTATCATGAGGGTCTGCTGGGAAGGTCTAG